CTAGCCAAGATGAGTGACTAGCCTGCTGGTGAGTACGTGATAGACAGGCATCAGGAGCATAAGTCCTTGTTTAGCACCTAGGACAGTGATGGCAAACCTTATAGAGATTGAGTGCCCAAACTGTGACCGAAAACCCACTTATTTATTGCCAAGTGCCAACACTTCAATTAAATTTGTTTTGGGGGGATTTTTTTCTTTTTTTTCTTTTTTTTTTTTTTTTCTTCTTTTTTTTTTCAATTAAATTTGAATACTGAAGTCTTAGGGTTTTTTGTTTTTTACCTGCTCTCTGATGCTTGGCTTCTTGGGCTGCTTAGCTTGCGTGCAGACAGAGAGGGCCCTGGATGTCCACTGCAGCGTGTGTGCCGTAAGTTCTCCGCTGGCCTAGGAGTTCCAGATAAGATCGTCAATTAACAGGTGTATGTATGAACCTGAGGAGTAAAGAAAAAGACCTGGATTTCCTAAATTCTCAGTCTACACATTCTCGTTAAGGCCACCAGAGTAGAAAAATTAAAAGGCCAAGGATAGAAACTTGTGGAAATCAACATTTTAGATGAGGCATGTCCAGTTTGCAGCCCTGGACAGCTAGTAATGTAGTCCCACAAGGTCAAAAACTTTGAACATTATAATGCGACTTTTAGCAGTATTTTTTAATACTCTCCCCCGAAAAACAAAAACAAAAAAAAACAGCATCTTTGTTCTTTCTTGCAGCACCAGTTTCAGTTAACATGAACACCTTATCTATGGATTTCCAAATGGGAGAAAAATATTCCTCTCTTCACAGTCGTGGCTTATTCATGTCATCATTTTTGGCAGTACATACACTTGGGAACAACTGTTTTCCAGCACAAAGTACAGAAAGGGTAAAATTAGATTGAAACATTCGGATGAGCACCTTGAGAAATCACTGAGGGTCGCAATCACTTCCATCAAGGCAAACGTTCATGCATTAGTTAATACATTAGATTCACAAAAACGTGGTCAGCTATCCAACTGGTTTTATGTTCCTGTTCCTTTCAATGATATAAAAATGAAGGATGTCTGTTAGTTATGTACATTATATTTGATGTCTTATGTGTGGCCAAAGACAATTACCCTTCATTCAGTGCAGCCCAGGCAAGCTAACACCCAAAAGACTGGACACCCATGCTATAGAAAGTTTTCCAAATTCAGCTACAGCCCTTTTCAGCTGACAAGTCACTTAATTTTTATGGATTTTAGTTCCTTTATTTGCAAAATGGAGTGAGGAGCACCTTCCCTATAGGATTCTTTCGAGGATTCAGTACGTTAATACACACAGTATATTTAGAAGTATTATATAATAAGCACCCAATCAGTGTTATCATTATTATTATTAATACTCATCTTTTAAGGAATTGGATCTAAAAGCCAAGAGAATAATAGTAAATAGATGGGGACATAAGGATATATAGTAGATTTGGTCTGTTAAGATTTTATTTCATGTTTATTGTTCTCTGTATTTTACACTGTAATTCCAATTTTTTGTACATATTTATAATGCTGTGCTGAAATCTCTTAATCTGGTTTCCTCCCAGCCCTACCATACTTAATGTTGGCTCCCTCTACGCTGTAGCTAATAAACCAGCTAAATATTCTGCAAGTACTTTTTTCCTACTTATTTTTTAAACAAACACAGAGTTCACTTTATTTCTTTAATTTTTGTTACTCAAGGCAAAACCACACTCCATTTGTTCAAATGATGGTGTAGACTGTTTAGTGTATAAAAGCTGCTACGTTTCATAGTTGTTTCAAATTAGATAAAAACTTAAGATGTAATTCTATAATTAGAAGAGAAATTGCTGGTGTAGCACAAACAAATGAAAAGTGCAAGAACATGAAGCAGGGTTTTAGGGCTTTTCTGTATTAATGGGGCTTTTTGTCTGTTCATTTGTGTTTGGTTGGTTGGTTGATTTTTTTGCTTATGAAACAATGACTACAATAATTGGTTTAGTAACATTTTAAGATACTACTGCCCTTTAGGTCCAGAGGTCCATGTGGTAGAGGCTTGGTCCTCAGCATGGCACTTTTGGGAGGTAATAGAACCTGTAAGAAAAGGGGATTTAAGGGAGATTTTTAGGTCATTGGCGGTGGGTCCTGAAGGGGGTTGTGGGCCCTGCTCCTTCCTTGCCCTCTCTTTTGCTTCTTGGCCATGAGGTGAGCATTTTGTTCTACCTTGTTTCCAGCATGAAGTGCTGCCTTGCTACAGGCCCAAGCAATGCAACAAATTGGTCATAGGTGAAACTTCTAAAACTGTGAACCAAAATGAACCTTTTCTCTTTATAAGTTTATTTATCTCAGACAATTTGTAATCGTAATAGAAAGTACTCTCTGATTTTCATAGTTTAGACAACAAAGAAGGGTCTTTAGGCAGTTAGAAAAATGGTTTGCAGTGTTATACACTTTTATTCCCATTTTCAGATTATTCAGTACTTGATAATGTTTTTGAATTTGTTAATTTAGTTTTTATTTTAACGAACTTATAAATGCACATAGTTTATAGTATAAGGCACGTTGTGGAAAACTTTAGTCCCCGGCCACCTATCCACATTTCCCACATGGCCTAACAGAGAATAGACTTCTCTTTCTTCCTGCCCTCCATCTTTCCAGGGTTGTTCCTTTAGCACACTTGAAGGCGTAGAGCAAGGTAGCTTGGTTAATGTCTATAAAGGAAGCCTCTTGGGCTCCAAAGAAGAGAAGAGTGGATATATGACGAATAGAATACCAAGCCTAGTCATTTGATTTATGTGAGTACGTCTTATTTCCCTGGTGTTCTTTTTTATATAGCATCCTTTTCCTGAGTAGGTAGATGCAGTTCCTTTTTTATCTCTTCTAACATAGGAGCATAGGCTCTGTTTTGTTCACGTTCTTTTTTTCTATTCATTTTGATCTACACTTTGCTATTAAGAGACCCTCATGTGCCGGCTCATATTCACCTACGGCACTAAAAGTTATTTAGAAGCGTTGTGTTTGTGGAGGAGCTTGTCATCTTGGGTTTTTACTACAGGTTGAGCTGGCTGAGGCATTTTGTTAGGAAGCCTCACCACCCATCTCATTAGATCTTTTCTTTGAGACTGGCTGGATTCCCTGGGAAATATTTTTTTCCTACATCTTCTTGATGAATATGTGCCTCATTTCAGCATTGCAAGAAGACAGGTTAGGAAAGGAAGGCTGGAAATCTCAACATCAAGTAAGGCATCCTTTGTTCCTCCTGCCGTCATGCCATTTCTCATATTTGCCCTTGAGTCAGGCAGTCCAGGGATTCCTGTGTGTTACCACCAGGAAAATGCATCTTACCCTTCTGCAAGACTCAAGGTCTGATTGTTTTCTAAAACAGTTTTCAGTCAGTGTTTCTGCCTTTTGTCCCTCCTTCATTCTATTTCAGGATCAATCTAAGATTCTGCTCTTGGCTTTCGACATTACCAGTGTAAAGTTAGGATCTCTTCGATATGCTAAATTAGCTATCACTTGTGTAGTGTATGACACTGTCGCTAGCCTCTTATTTTTTTCTCTTCCCTGGCTCTCAGTTTGTCCTTCTGAGATAATGCTTCAACTTTTTTCTTTTTTACCTTAGTAGGTTTGTGGTAAGGACTTCAGGGGCTAATACATGTCCCCAACATGCCATCTTTTGCATAAAATTTTACAAGGAAAGTAAAATAGCAGGCTTTTAAAATGTTGTTTCTTTGCACTTGATCTTGGTGACGGGAATAGTCACATGCCATGAGGTTCAACATGTTCTGAAGGGTCCAGGACTTCAGTATACTTGCACAAATTTCGGAGGTGCTCTAGAGACCATGGCCGATGTCTTTAGCAAGTGTTGAGTCCAGGAGATGTTGGAAAGGAAGGAACAGTGAAAGTTCTGGGTTTTTTTTTTTATTGCTTATTCTTTTCATTATTATGTATTATGTTTTGCTAATTTGCTTATCCATAAGACCAAACTGATTGGTCCGAATACAGAATTCATTTTATTCACCAAGGCAGGTACACGTTGGTTCTGTATCACACTTAGGGTTTCCCCTAACTTTTATTTCAACTTTTATTTTCACCTCACCAGCTGTCCCTGTTGCTTCATAGAAGCGACTGTACCTATCACTGCAAAAGAAAATTAAAGCCATTCAACTTGTGCTATGTCACCTATGTTGGTTGAATTGATAAATAAATTAAGAGAAAGCTCTCTTTACATTCACCTGTTACCACTCCTTTATCCCTGTGTTAGAAGGATAATTATCCTTGCTTTGTAAGGCTAAGCCCCTGAGACCTGTGCAGAATAGTATAGAGGACAGCATGAACCAAAGCCAGGAAACTTCAAAAAAGATTTTGGTTTGTGGGCAAAGGGGTTTTAGAATTAACCAAGCGTGGTTTGGATGCTGGTTTTGCCCGTGCCCCCTGAGTGAGTTACTTCCCTCCTGTGCTTCCCTTCTTGGTCTGTAAAGTGAGGGAGGTAGCAGCTGTTTCACAGGATTGTGGTGCAGTTAGGTAATACATGGTAAGCTCTCCCTAAATGATAGGCCCTGATGCTGAAACAGCTAGAGTGAAGCTAGAACGGTAGCTCATCTTAAATATTTGTTTGCCCTTTAGGATAAATAGCCATGTATATTTCCATCTCTTGCAGTAACCATAAATGTAAGCCCTACAAGGTTAGGAACAACGTCCTCATCGTGTTTTAAACATCTAACGTATGCCCAACACACATGAACTAAATGTGTGTTCTGTGTTGAAGAAATGAGTAGTGAAGCCTCGGGTTACACTGATTGAATTGATTAGTAAATTTACTGTTTTCTCAGTTTGTTGTGATTGAAACCTTCCACAGATTTCCAGATTGTTGTTAGAAATTCATTTTCCTTCTGTTTCATGCATTATGAATGCTTTTAGTACGTCAATTTTCATGGTAGACTTCAGTGAAAGAATGTGTGTTTGGCTGTCTGTCTGTCAGCTTTTAACATGTCATTAATAATAATTGGCCTTTCTTTCTAATTTCCATTCAGGGAAGTGGTGCAAGCAAACTGCGTTCACTGGAGAAAGAAGTTCTCATTTATGTGCAAAATGAGCGCAAGCGCTGCCACAGGGATCCTCGATCCCTGTATCTACAGAGTATCTGTGAGGAAGGTATGAAAATGGCCGATTATTTTCCACTTTCAGAAACCACAGTTAGTTCCATAGTCACTAACTCACTTTATTTAGCCCTGTGTTACTGTTGGAACTATTATACTTTATGTAATTTCACTTCCATTTACAGCAATAATTTAAATTCCTAGGGCAACTGTGGTGAAGAATCTGAAGTTATAAACTAAAATATTCAAGAATCTTTATCTCACTATCACTATGCATATAAGCATTAACCATATTTGTATTAATTTGGGAGCTATGTGTATATTGTACCATTTATTCCTATTCTTTAATAGGCATTGTTCTGGAATATACATATTTATATTCTAATAACAACCCTGAAAGTAGGTGTTACTTTACCTTTTTTTAGGAAAACTAAGGCTCAGAGGAGTAAAGGTACTTACCAGATTTACAATGTGAATAAATAGAAAGGATTCAAACACAAATATTTCTGATTGCAAGCCCATCTTTTATTTTTTATACATTTCCTTTCTACATATTAGGTTGAGCCATATTACCAATAATCTACAGAAGTGACAGTTTTACTTCGTTCGGTTTACACACACACACACACACACACACACACATGATCCTGCTTGTTTGGGGAGAGGGCTGGTAAAAAGGAGTACTCTATTAGTCACTGGTACTAGTGATATAAACTAGCTGTAAAATGTACACTTTGTACACATTTTAAAATTACATGTAACAATATATGTAATGAGAAAAAATTAAAAAGCAAGGGATTTAGAATAAAAAGTAAGAGTCCCTTATCTTGTTCTTGTTCAACAAATACAATAAATACATGAAAAAATGTTCAACATCTCTGGCCATTAGAGAAATGCAACTTTAAACAACACTGAGATCCAATCTCGCTGCAGAAAGAGTGGCTATCATCAAGAAATCAAAAATAAACGCTGACAAACCTGCAGTGAGGGAAGGAACCTCCCTGTTGTTGGTGGGAATGTAAATTAACCTAACCACTGTGAAGAGGAGTATGGATATTCCTTAAAAAACTAAAATAGAATTCCATTTCACCCAGCTAGTCTCCTTCTAGGTATCTTCCTGAAAGAGTTTAAGACATCATATTACAGTGATACATATTTATAGCAGCACAACTCAGAATAGCTTAATCTTGGAAATGACCCGTGTGTCCATCAATGGATGAATGGATAAAGAAAATGCGAGATTTATATACAATGGAATGCTGTACTATTCTGCAGTGAAGAAGAATAAATTTGCATCATTTGTAGGAAAATGGTTGTATCTTAAGACCGCAATATGAAGTGAAATAAATCAGACACATAAGCTTAAATGTCAGTGTGGTTTCTCAAATATGAAGAACCCAAGATACAAATAAAGAGCAAAAGAAAAGATAGATAGTAGGAAATAGGGAGCTAAATCTTTTGTAAATGGGAAGGGAACCAAGAGATAGGGAGTGTGGGGAAGGGGACATAAAAAGAATTAAGATGAGTCATGTACATGTACCAGCTATCCACAATGAATATATACAATATATTGTAAACATGAGCTAAAGAAAGGGAAATGTGGGGGAAGGAACCTAAAGGAGGAGGGAGAGAGGAGGGAAGAGAGGACGAAGGTAATAAAGAGGATCAAGGTATGTTAAGTACATGTACCTACTCCCTAAAATGAATGTAAACGTTATGTAGTACAAACATGCACTAATAAATTTTTTAAGGGAGAAAACCTAAAATATCCTACACATTATCCAAATTTAAAAGAAATAAATAAATGTCATCCTAATCATAGTTTTAAAAGGCAATGTATAAGTCTTTGAATTTTAAGAAAAATAAATATGTTTAGAGTAAAACGTAACTGAGTTAAAGAGACTCAATCTATAAAACAAGAACTAATGATGCTCTTTAAGGTAAGATTTATTCATCTAAAATACTCCTCAGCCTGTTCCTCAGATTAGGAGGGCTTGGTGTATTAATTAGGACATACATGATAAGCTGTTATATAGAGACTCAGATAAGCAATGGCTTAAGGAAGGTAGACATTATGTCTCTAGGGCAGTGATAGCTAACCTTCTAGAGCTTTCAGTAATACAGACAGCCCACCGTGGCATGTGTGCCACAGATTTGCCACCACTGCTCTAGGGTAGCAGTAACCCTCACTATTGGTGTCCATCCAAGGGAGCTGCTGCAATCCTGTCTCCCAAACCAGTGACCTAAGAACAAGTGTGTCCCTTCTGAAGGCACGACTGCAGGTGTGCATATATCTTGTGAACATGTCCCACAGGTTAGAACGTAGTCCTGGACCACGCCAGCCTGAAAGAAAGGCTGTGAGCCTCATCCCTAGCTGGCCAACAGCTTCTCAAGTTAAAGAAGGGGAGAATGAATATGGTAAACCATAGCAGCTTCTGCTGTGCATGGGTAGATGGAGACATTTATTAAGTTCATTCTGTATAATCCTTCCTAGGTATTACATAAAAGATTAATGAACAACTATATAAACATGCTGTGTGTAGCCAAAAAATACCATAAGCAAAGTCATAAATTGTAAGAAAATACTTGCAAATCATGTCAGATGACTCATTTCCATAATTTAGAGCACCTCCCAATAATAAAATGATCAGCAATCATTTAGAAAAACAGCCAAGTGACAGAGTGTACATTTCACCAAAAAAGACAGTATAAACAGCTTTTAAACAAAATATACTCAAACTCATACAAATTAAAATTTGAATAAGACAGTTTTTTAGTTATAAAGTCAACAAAAGCCAAAAGTTTGATAATATACTCTGATTCCTAGGCACAGCAAAGCAGTCAGTCACTAGCCAACAAACTTGTGAATTTCTGCAGTGTGCTACATATGTTCTCGGTGCTTGAGGACAGAGCCAGATGAGATTGTATCCCTGAGGACTTCACTTTCTGGTAAAAGTTGGACAAGAAGTGATAGGAAAGCCAGAAAGTAAGCACATAACCAAATAAGATTGTTTTAGATAATGATAGTGCTAAGCATAAAGTACAGTGAGGGTAATAAAGAGTGACATGGAGAAGAGATAGTAGTTTAGGAAATTGGGGAAAGTCAGTCAAAACTTAACTGAAAGGTAACATTTGAAGGAAGGTAGCCATGTACAGATGTAGGGAAAGGTTAGGGGTACAGCTCAATAGTAGAGCACTTGCCTAGTACAAGGCCCTGGGTTCAATAGCCAGAAAACACACACACACATACATACACACGTTTGGAAAGACCAATTACAGGAGTAAGACCTAAGAGCAAAAAGACATTGTATTAGTTCCCAGGACTCTTACAACAAAAATGCCACAAACTGGGTGACTTCAAGCAACAGATGTGCACAGTCTCCATTCTGGAAGCTAGAAATCCAAAATCAAGATGTCAGCAGGATCATGCTCCCTCTGGTGCCTCCAGGAAAGAAGCTGTTTCATGCCTCTGCCCTAGGTTCTGTTCTTTGAGAATGAGACCCTATCCTATCCTCAAGAATTTAACTTCTGGCAGTCTTTACTTCAGGCAATCCTTGGCTTATAGACAAAGCCCACAATTACACGACTGTCTTCTCCCTTCATGGTATAGTTTAGAGAGAAAAATAATATAGGAGGTGAAGTGCCCACGCCTGTCAAATGTTCAGAAGCTAAGTGTGATGAAGACAGAGCCTTTGGCTTTTGTAAAATGAAGATCACTGAAAATTGTAAGAACTAGTACAGAAAAGAAATCAGGACCAAAGCCCAATTGGAGAGGGCTGCACAGAGAGGACAATACAGTGGCCTTTTGGGGGGCTGGGAGGAGTCCACAAAGTTGAACTTAGCACCATCACACATTTTTACCATCCATTGACAATAAGGAATTACTTGGCATATGCTTAATTTTAAATCTTCGTGTGATAACCTTACCATGTTTTCTATCTTCGGCAGGAGCTAAAAGGTGGAAAAACTTATGCAAAGGTAAGCAGATTTTCTTTTACTCTTTGGTAACTCATAATACAACTCTTTGCTGTGTATAGATTTAAAAATTAAATGATTTACTCTTCTAATTGCTGCTTGAGCTTGACTCTTTTAAGTAAGGCAACTTGGAGATTGAGGGGTTGTATCCAATAATAAATTAAAGGCATAGTCTTTCTAATTTCTTATTATAGGGTGTTTTTCTTTAGTGTTAGCTTCCTTACTAGAGAATGATCTCTAGTTTCCTTGAAGTTCTAGCTTACTGATAATTCAGGCTCACCTGTGAGGTATTCCCAGGCCCACCTCATCATAGTAGAACAGGAACTTTTCTGTGTGTTCTCGTCACACTCAATACACATTCTTCAGTTGGTATTTGCAGTGGATTGCTTCCAAGACCCACCCCAACCCCAGAAAACAAAATCCAAGCATGCTCAATTCCAGTCCCTTATATAAAGTAGCCTAGTATTTGCATATAACGTACAAACATTCTCCCATATGCTTTAAATCATTTCTGTATTCCTCATGATACTTAATGTAATAGAAATACGATGTATGTGGTTGTTACGCTGTATTGTTCAGACAATAATGACAAGAAAAAAGTCTGTACATGTTTAATACAGTCGCAGATTTATACTTTCCATCCACAATCGGTTAAATTCACAGTTGTAGAACCTGCAAATACAGAGGGCAAACTACGTTACCACTGCACTTGTTACTTGTGTTAGCTGCATGAAAGTAGTAATGTGCTCAGCTTTCTGCTCAATGGGAAGAATGAGTAATTATTAATACTACCAGAAACCTACGTATTTTTTTATTTACATTCTCTGTGAATGGTATATGCATCATTGCAGTCATCTGAGGCAAGAACCTGGACTAGTTGTAACCAGATCTAGTTGTTTATAATGTCACCTAAGATGTTCTTTGCTACAAATAGCAGAAAACTTTCCTCAACTGAAAAATTCTTTTAACCTCACAGAGCAAGTAGATGTGATATTGAGCTGCTTGCTTAATCCAGTGACTGAGAAAAACGTCAAGAACCCGTATTTTTCTCTTTCCACTACCCTGTTCTTTGTGTGGTGACTGCTCTTGGCTAGTGCCTCCCCTGAACACCAGGTGCCTGGCTGCTGTAGTTTTAGTCAACACATTCACATATTAGAAAATTAAAATAAGATTCAATTATTCCCCCCACTTTTAGTCCTTAAGCAGCTATTTACTGCTTATAAAGGAAATGTAAAATTCTGTAACGTAGCATATAAGATACATTTCGGTTTGCAGATTATTTCTGCTGCTTCATCTCTTCCGCATACCTGCCATCTGGAGTCTCCCTCGCTCATCCTTCTGAAGCATACTGCCATCATGAACTTCCTGGATTATCTCTGCTATTTTAGATTCTTGGCCTCGTGACTTAACGTTTTCCCCACCGTGCGTGTATTTCTGCCTCCTCTTGTCCCGTCAACTCATGTATCATTAAAGACTCGGCTTGGTCATCCTTCCCCACTGAGAACTTTGCTTTTCCTGTCCTGTAATTATGCCTTTTTCGATCACAGCACTTACCAGCTCGTGCTGTCGGGATTTCTTTTTCCACTTTTCATGTATTATTAACTATGAGAGTCAGGATGATTCTCTGCGGGCCGGAGGTAGAACTCAGTGGTAGGGCACTTGTCTAGGTTGCACAAGGCCCTGGGTTCAGTCCGCAGCGCTGGAAGAAAAAAAATGCTATATTTCCAATATTTAACATTACCTGGGATGTGGATGCTGAAGATATTTTTTTAATAAATGAATGTCTACCACAGATAATGGTTGTATGTGTATGAATGTCATTTTCATAGGACAGTTACTTCGGTAAAACAGAAGGAAGCGTGCATTGATATCTCGCTATAATGTAAGCTCTTTGAAGCTAGAGTATTTGTTCTGTTGTTCCCTCTTTTTGTGTTTAAAACAGCCTGGCACATAAAAGGTGCTCAATAAATATTGACCTCACTCAGAACTCTTAGCCTCACATCACATTGACCTTGTCTACCTGTTAATATGTTTTCTTAGTGAAGACTGTCAGTTTTTGCAGTTCTAACAAATTACCATAAACAACAGACACCTGTTTCTCACATCTCCGGAGGCTGGGAAGTCCAAGATCAAGGTGCTGGCAGAATCCAGAGTTGATGAGAGCCCCCTACTTGTGCACAGATCGCTGGCTTCTCAGTAGGTCCTCACAGCAGGGAGCAAAGAGAGAAGCAAGCTCTCTCCTGTCTTTGTAAAGGGAATTAATCCAGGGCTGGGCATATAACTCAGTGATAAAGCATGTCCTTAGCACATGCAGGGTTCTGGGTTTACCCCAGCACAAAAAAAGAAAAAAAAAGGAAAAAGAAAGCACCTGTGTTCGAGGACTCCATCCTTGTGACCTAATTGCTTCCCAAAGGTTACATCACATATCACTAATACCATCCTTTTGGGAGTTAGGGTTTCAATATATGAATTCGTGGAAGCACAAACATACAGTCCATAAGAGAGTAATCGGATTTTTTAACTTAGTGACAATATTAGTATTATGACAGTGAATGGTAAGACAGTGAGCTGTGTTTTATTCAATAAATGCATATTAAGGGCCCATCATGTGCCATTTTTCCTGGTGTCGTTCTAAGTACTAGACAAAAAACAGACAAAAGCGCTGCTTTATGGAGCTTACATTCCAATGGGAAGTAGAGAGGTGAGGGACAGACAAGCAAATAAATGTAAGATATGTATGGGCATGAGGTGATAGTAACTACTCAGGAGAGGAACAGCAGGTAAAGGATAAAGAGTGGTAACTACAGGCTAAGACAAGGGAGAGGGACGTATTTTAGGGTAGTTAGGGAAGAATCCTTTCGAGCAATGACATGGAACATTGCCGTGAATGGAGTGAAAGAGAGCTCCATCTGAGAGAGTGTGTTTCGGCAGAACAAGAGAGCCACATGCCTTGAGGTGACCCTGGCATCTTCAGGGAGTAGGACATTGAGTCTGACAGAGAGAGGAGGAGGAAATGAAGTTGAGCAAATGGTCAGGGACTGCGGAATTGAAGACAGCTTAGACAGCACTTTCAGGAAGTTTGGCTGGGGCTGGAGAACAGAAAAATGATCCAACAGCCTGGTGAGAGATGTGGGGTGAGGTCTGGTTTGGTGGTGTTCACTGAGAAAGGAGAAAGTCCCGCAGAGATGGGAAATTTTAGAAGGCCAAAGAGCAGGAAGAACTGCTGATGTAATGCACGAGAGGCGGCGGGAGCAGCTGGCCTCGGGAACACAGCCAGTTCGTCCGTCCTCTGAGTGCAAAGGCAAATAAGTGTGCGTGCAGGAGCAGGCAGGTGAGTGGCAGTGGCTGGAAGTAAGAGCTTGGCAGTTAAGCGTTCTTTTGATCGCTCTTCTTTTCTGCCTGAAGTAGGAAGCAAGGTCTCAGGTCGGGGGAGAACCGGAAAGAGGCATTGGAGGTTCAAAGACAAAGGCGGAATAGATGAGACAGAGTGTGTGGATAATGCGTGACCCAGTAAATCACTTGAGTCTTCACATGCTCACATGAAAGTCATTTTGCCCTGAACATACCCAGGCTTTTTCTGCTGATGTGTTGGCTCCCTGAAAGGCAGCGAGACTAGAGTAACACTGTGAAAATTAGATAGATGTTACCTGTAGCTTGATGTGTGCCTGACTTACTATGTTTGGGGCTTCATTCCTTACGTTATTCTTTTCTTTCTGTACCACTTAAAAGCTACTCAAATAATGCTGCAGTCTACAATTAAAATCTTCATCCTAAGTACCACTCTGTATGCCACTGTTTTAAAACCTTAAAGCAAACAATCTCAGCAGTGTTTGAAATGTATAGTGCTTTTTTTAGTTCATGTGGATGTGCTTATTAATTGTAAATTCAATTTATTTTTTATTAATAAGAGACGCTACACATACTTAGGCTGAAGAACAGATTTATTTAGAAAATATAATGACATAATGGGGTTTGCTTCTCATATCGCTTGAAGTAAGAAATAGAGTTGAGCAGCGGAGGAAAAACTGTAGAACAACTTTTAGTAACTGCAGAAAATTGGACCAAACCTGAGCAGTAATGAAGAAGAACAGGTTTAAACTGAACTTCTGGGTAGCAGCAGAGAGGGTGGGCGTGGAGCAGAGCTATGAGAACGGGAGAAAGAAAGTTCCATAAAGAGAGAGTCAATGCAAGGATCATCAGCAAGGAGAATGTTTTGAGAGGAGAAAAATAATTTGTACTAAAGTGTGACTCACTTAAGAGAACTGAAAAACCTGCAGCTGTCTACAGTTACTAGGGGTTAACAGCATAGCGTGAGAACACAATAGAGTCCGATCATTTTTCCATCTGGATATGCAAATGATGATGATTGGTCTGCTGGTATTGTCCACAGTGTGGTGTGAGCGCCACTGCTACATGCATGCGATGATTTGAGTTGTATGATACACGTTAGTTTTACTATAACAGTGATGTATTTATTTTCATGTACATAGAAAAATATATGTCACACATCAGATCTGTGATATCAGAGATCCTGTGCTTAAGAATAAAATAGGTAATAAGTTTTCATTTAAAAAGCAAATCAATTTAGGGACACTTATAAAGCAAATAAAACAACAGGTATTAAGATGACAAAAACTTCAAAGACTAAAATTTGAGAAAACTTGCCTGAGGAATGGGTTGAGTGTTTATTTTAAGGAGAATATGATAGAAGCCTCTAGATAGTCTATTAATATAATTCTCTTTCTTTTCCTAGCTGGGCTTTGCAGATTTAAACCTGGCAGAGTTTGCTGGATCAGGAAATACCACTCGTCGCTGTTTACTGGAAGGCTATGACACCAAAAATACGAGACAGGATAACTCCATTCTTAAAGTAAGCACGCTTCAAGATTTACATGCCGGCAAACGGGGCCCCCTGCATGTCAGTAATCCTAGGTGTGTCTTTCAAGGACAATACATGCATCAGTAATGAGAGCATAAGCTCACCACACCAGTGACATACTACCTGGGGGGAGAAAACCTATCCAAATCAAAGAAGCAGTGAAAGGTAGCAAGTTTTGGCCTTCATGATCCTGAGGTGTTTCTTGTCCGTGTTGCAGACATTTAAAGAATACACAACTCCCACAGCATAACTGTTCATTTGGGCATAAGGAAATGAATAAAGACGTTAAACTGTTTGTAGCTTCCAGAAGGTGATTTCCATAGCAGCTGCGATGTACCCATAGAAGTCGCTGGCTTTTCTTGTAACTAGGGAAGTGACAGGCAAAACTTACTCCGGGCATCTGCCCTATTTTTCCCAAATACCATCAGGAGCCGCGTGTTCTGTAGCCACCCAGCCCCTCCTGGCTCCGTTTTCCTCTCCATCCCTTTTCCTGTCCTCTCTTTTGGGAGACTTTCCCGTTAATGAAGTAGCTGCTCTTGCGCACTGTCTTCTCTGCCTGTTCTCTCCTGACCAGCTGATCGTAAATGTGCCTGACATTTCTCATTTCTTTAAAAGGCCCATTTCCGGCAGCATTTTCTTTTTCAGTTTCTTCTCCCCGAACACATTCTAGGCTTTCTTATCACTAAAACCTGGGCCACTTCCAAAGTTCCAGGTAAAGTTTCCCCTCTTGCCACTCTCTATGCTCATATCATTTCGGTCTCCTCTCCTCGCTGCCTTCAGCCCTACCGCTGTCTCACTTTCCACTCGCATTCTTCGTCAGCCCCTGCGGGCTTCTCCTTCCTGCTCTATCCAGCTTAGAGTCCGTGGTCCAGGAATCTGGATTACCGTACTCTTAGTAATACTCTGGGCCCCTTTGCCCATTTCTGTCTCCTGAGTACTCTCCAGCCCTAATTGGCCTCAGCTCTCTGCCTTCCCTGAGTCTGCACCCTGTACAGAGCCCTTGCCGGTCCTCGTCGTGGCCCAGGAAGTTTATACTTGTGATCCCGTGGAAAGTTATTGGAATTCTAGCGAGTTCATTCCAATCTACCACTTCCAGGGCAACCCATGGCGAGAATAAAGACACTAAGGCATATTTGTAGTTATGGGAGCCAAGGGGTCCTAAGTCCAGCCATGATGATGGCGAACTGGAACAAAGGCCTCGATCCAGGGCCAAACCCAGGTTTTATTAATTCATGAAGAAAGGAGTGGCTAGAGGATGAGTGACTGTGAGAATGGCAGGAAGTAGGTGAGGGCCGTGAGCTGGGCTAGGTGGGAGGCCTGAAATCGCCTCTGCCATATGCAGAAACTAATCTGCATAACACAGTGGCGGTAGTATGTGATGTTTTGGGGTTGGTGCTTCACCTCTGATGTGTAATCTTTTATGCCCTGGGAAGTTATAGCCTCTTATCCCAGCTGACAGCGTGGAACACGACTGCCCATCCTGCCTCGCCCCAGCTCACACATTTTATTTGGAAGCTACGGGGGCTGGAGAAACACTGCCCTGTCGTCTTTGCTTCAAAGACTGCACATCAGCACCAGTTGTTCCTCCTTCAAGGAGAGTCGTCCAGGTGGTCCTCCACCGCATCCGAATGTCCGAGCATTGCCGGAGAATTCGTACAGCCAGACCAGCTGGCAGGACTGAAATAAGGCTCACCACCACCTGCAGCTGTACTCTGCTTCCTTTCCCAGCTTTAGATATTTTATTTCCTGCCTTCTTTCTCCTCTCTGCACACAGCACTCTTGCTGTAAGTCAGTGGTCTTACCTTAGCCCTTATTGAGCACTTAAAATCTGTTAAACTCAAATTCCCTATCTTCCCATCACAGAAGTTACAACTCTGCCTTTCTCCCCAGCCTTACTATCCTTTTGCCTCCTGCTGCAGTGACTGGACTGTCTCCCTGTCAGAAGCCTAGTGGCTTTTCTCTTATGCTTCGGAATCCAAAACTTGCCTAATTGCGGGTTTTTCTCCTTCGATTATCTCTCCTCCTAATCATCTCTCCCTCTGATGAGCCGTTCTTACAAACATACAAACAGCCATAGTACCTTCCTCACTTTTTGTGGTACTGAGGACTGAATCCAGGGCCTTGTGCTTGCTAGCCAACTGCACCACCACCCTGCCCATAATTTTTTAAAAAGGCAGAACCAGAATCTTCTCTCTTCCAACTTTGGTCATATTTCTCTGTTCTCCTGCCCTGCACAGTTCCCTAAAAGGGGTGAAAGAGAGAGAGAGAGAGATCGCCATCTCCTTCCTGAGACATTCAGAATATTCAAGAATGCTATCTTGATAGAGTTGGAAACCAGATTGTAGGGTTCTGTGAAAGAAGTGAGAAAACCAGTGGAGCAGGATGTTTGACATTTAAAGCGAAAGGATAGTAGTGGAAGCCCTGGGATGAGGAAATTCGAATGAAATAAAGCTATAAAAGGTGTATGGCAGCCTTTAGCTGGAAAAAAAGTAATATATACATATCTGTTATTTACAGAGACCATGAAGTTTGGGACATGGAGTCCTATAATCAGATCTCATCACGGCCCTCTGCTAGCTCCCTGATCTTGAAAGTATCATTTAATCTCTCTAGGTTTAAAATGAGAATATCACTCGTAGGAGTACTGAAGATTAAATGAAGTGATACATGTAAAACATTTTGCTCATTCCTGTTACATTATAAATTTTCTACTCATGATCTTTGTTAATGTTGTTGTTGTTACCATTATTATTCCCATAAGAATGTGAAATGGGCCAGGAATGGTAGTGCACGCCTATAATCCTAGCACTCGGTAGGCTGAGGCAGGAGGTTCGCAGTGAGTTCGAGGCCAACCTGGGCTAGATAGAGCTCCAGGTCAGCCTGAGTTACATAGTGAGACCTTGTCTCCAAAAAAAAAGAATGTGAAATGGTCCTTAATTAAATATAGTCAGCAATAAAGAGCAACATTTCAGAAGGGTTTAGAAGAAGCTGTAAGTGATCTAAAGCTAAAATAAAGGCCAGAAATGGTGTACTCACAGAAGCCACCAGCAGACATCCAGTGAAGCATTAACATAGCAGACTGCAGGGAAGCATTACCAGACGCTTCCACGCCACAGGAATCTGGAGTGAAGACATAAAGCAGATCAGTACAGCCCGCACTCCCAGGAGGGAGTTACTGGAAAAGCACTTGCTTTTTGTTCTCATCTCTTCCACTCTTGATTTTTAAAATTACAAGATTTTGAATGTTAAAAATGATTTTGAACCTGTCTGTAGAAAGCAGTTGTTTGACGTGGATATAACCCAGTGCAACAATCATTTTATTTAATGTTTTTTAAATAGAAAATACTGGACATACTCTGAGGGGAGGGATTCAGAGAACATGGCTTCCAGTCTCAGAAAGATCTTTTATAGTAATATTTCTTGTTCTTCTGTTTAGGTTTTGATCAGTATGCAACTGATGTCTGGTGACCCGTGTTTTAAAACGTAAGTGGATGCCCAGTAAATATACGTATCTGAAAGCATAACAGAGATTTGTTTACAAGTTTATGTTAATATTTTATAGTTTTTTCAGGCAAGTAAATCCTTTCCTGGGAGACTGACCTGACCTTCATAGAAGTTACTGTTCCCTGTTACCAAATGACCTCTGTACACTCTACTTGAATTGTAGGTCTTTTGTCATTTTTAGGCTTTGAGTAAATCATATTTTAAATATGCAAATTTATATACATATACATTAAATGTACATATATTTTTTAAAGTATTGGCGTAATCCAACTTCTCATCCAACAGATGAGAAAAACTAAGGCACAGAGGAACTGAGTGACTTGGCCCAGTGTCTGTGTGTAGCACAAATATCTGAATAACTGCTAGAGGAGTTCATTCTACTATTCTCACTGCTTTTGTTTTCAAATTTTTCATGATGCAAAATTAGAGAAACTAACAAAGGTTCAGTAGGGCTTGGGTGTAGGTCTGTGGTAGCATGCCTGGCATGCATAAGGCTCTAGGTGTAATCCTTAAAACCATACACAGAGAACTACAGCATATCTTTAACATTCTCAGGTTTAAATTCTAGTTTTAATAGTTTATGAACAGAAGATTTGTTACATAGATTGTATAATGTTTCGGAAAACCAAATGTTATACTATCAAGCCAGTATTTATTTAAAAAAGACAGCCAACCAGCCAACCTAGCCACCTAACCCTAAACATTAAAATGAGTTCTATAGTTCTCTATAGTTTATCAGATAGCCACCAGCTCTTGTAAAACAATGAAACTGATCTGATAACTGCTGATGAAGAAAAAGAATATTTTGGGCTGGGGATTTAGCTCAGCGGCAAAGCGTCTGCCTGGCAAGCGCAAGGTCGTGAGTTCGGTTCCTGGTACGGGAGAAAAACCAAAAAAAAAAAAAAAAAAAAACCCAAAAAGAAAAAGAATATTTTGATAGAGAAATTGTATGCTATAGCTGCGTAATCTGGTGAAAAGAAAATCCAGGGATGATGTAATTGTCATAAATAGCAAAGTTCTAGAGCATTCATAGCCTGAAAGAAACAAATTACATTTATCAGGGTGACTTCATAAATGTCACTGTCTCCCAATGCAATTCTTGAAACATCTCTGTGATACTTTTGAGTGAGGATGTGAAGGTTGAGGGTAAGCAACTAATTTGTCCGGAGTCCCAGGATTCACACATACATTCAGGTGCTTACATACTGATTTCCTACTACGTGCTGTTCACCCAGCCCAGCTAAATAAGACAGCTCCTGCTCTGGCTGGATTCACATTTATGGGGAAGACTTAGACACAGCATGAGAGTCACTGAGGTGTAGAAAATAGGATCACTGCCCACTGTCTGTGAAGGCCTGGAAAATCCTCACTGAGTGGGTGACACTGAGCTGAGTTTTAAAGGATAAATAGGAATTTACTAAGTGCAGGAGGTGGTCCAGGGAGAGAAAACAGTTTGCACAAGTTCATGGCACTGTTATAGCTCATAGGATAGTTATGCGTTATCTAGTAGGTAGTGCTATCATTTTAGGAGGTCATTTTTATCTGTCATGAGCTATACTTCCAGCCTCCTTGAACACAACCTTAACATTATTCTAAAATTATAATACTCCCATCACTTTTGTTCTATAATTTAATAAAATTTAAAAATAAACTATTTTATTAGTTCAAGAGATAGGTTTTTTCTCTAGACCAGAACTCAAAGGGCCTTGCATGTCATCCTCATGAACTTGAACTTTATCCCAAAGGAGCTGTAGGAGGGTTTTAAAGCAGAAAGTCCCACGTTCAGAGGCACATTCTAGAAAACCCAGTAACAGCGTGGAACAGAGGTTGCCCGGCCAGCAAGGGGACTCAGAGTCACCCGGAGAAAGGCCCAGACTCAAGTAGTTCGTGGACGGAGGCAAAGAGATGACAAGCGGGAAAGATAATAAAAGGAGAATGTGGGACTTGGAAATCGATTAGATAGATACGGGGAAATTTAGTATGAAGGAGGTGGAAGCGATGTCTAGGACTCTGGTTCTGGTAACTCCGAATTTTGTGATGGCTTTCACAGAGACAGAGAATACAAGAAAAAACAGGTTTGAGAGGGAAAAAAGAGTTTGGTTTGGGGGATATATAGAGTTTTATAAACTCGCAGGAAAAATACTGGGAAACATCCTAAAAAGGTATGTGAGTCTGAAATTTAGGAGACCCTGAGGTGGAAATAGTCTATAAATTAAATAGATTTGATGGCAGTGTTTATTTTTTTAATTATTTGTTAACATGTACTAATTGTATGTATTGTATAATTGTATTAGTGGGTTTCCGTGTGATATTTCAGTACATGATTGCAGTACATACAGATCAAATTCGCCTCCCTCTATGACGACAATTTTAAATATGTCCCCAAGAGCCTGAACAGCCTGGGGAGTCCATTGAGCTAATACAGGGAAGATGCAGCTGCCATGAAATGGGTCCAGTGCATCGTCCCTTCTGTCACCTTCTTGTTTTCCTACCTCAGGGTGACTGAGAGGTAGTTTCTGAGAAGTGGCCGCCTCTCCCTACAGGCCCTCCACGGCCAGGCAGTGCCCCTGCTCTTCTCACCATCATGTCGTATGAAAAACCTTTCTTCTCAGTGAATTTTATTCAGGTTGTTTAAAGATGCTTTTCCTGGCCAGGCGTAGCGGCAGACACCTGTAATCCCAGCGCTTGGGAGGCTGAGGCAGGAGGATCGCTGCAAGTTAAGGCTAGTCTAGGCTGCAATGTAAATTCAAGGCCAGCCTGAACTGCATAATTAAACCCTGTTTCAAAAAGACCAAAAAAAAATGTTTTTCCTTATGGTTTTTTTCCCTTTTACTAGTGTATTTTTGTGATACAGGGTAGTGATACTCACTTTGGGGATTTGGCAGGTCCACTGAACATACTTCGATCATTTTTAATCCTTTTACCCCCTGTCTCTTAGCTCCCCTCCCCCAATACCCTTCCCTATCTCCAAATGTATGCCTTCTTAGTCCCTACTATCTCTATTTTATTTTTTTATTTATATTTCCGGTTTCTCGATAAGAGAAACCATGTGATATTTAACTTTCTATGTCTGACTTCTTTCACTTAACATTATATTCTCATGTTCCATCAGTTTTCTGTCAAATGACATGCTTTTATTCTTTATGACATAGTAGTACTCCATTGCATATAAATGTCCTATTTTTTTCTCCCATTCATCTGTTGATGGACATGTAGGCCACTTCCAAGATTTAGCTATTGTAATATGTGATTTTTATCCTTGATTTTATCTATGTAATTTATTATATTTGAGTTATAGATGTTGAACCACCTTTGCATCCCTGGGATAAAGCCAACTTAGTTATACTTTATAATCTTTTTAAAGAGTTTTTGAATTCTGTGTGAAAGTATCTTCTTGAAGATGGTTGCATTTCTTTTCATCAAGGATATTGGTCTATAATTTTCTTTTTTTGGTGAGTCCTTACCTGTTTTGTTATCAATGTGATGCTGGCTACAGGGAATGAATTTAGAATCATTCCTTCCCTTTCAGTGATAGGGAATAGTTTAAGGAATATTAGTGTCGGTTCTTCTCTAACCACCATACGAAGATGTTTTAGCCAAATTGTCTACTAATATTACATAATCTATACAGTTATTGATTGTATATAGTACATTATAGTCAGGAAAGTTCTTGTCAACGTGACTATCACCTGCCAACCTTGGTCCCTGACAAAATTTAGGGGTAAATCCATCAGGTCCTGGGTTTTTCTTTGTTGGTAGAGTTTTTATAACTGCATCAATTTCATTGCTTTTTATTGGTCTGTTCAGGGTTTTTGTATCTTAGTGGTTCAATTTTCATAAGTCATATGTGTGTAGGAATTTATTTTCTTCTAGATTCTTCAATTCCTCTAGATTCTCCAGTTTATTGGAATACACATTTCTAATAATTCTGTAGGTTTCTGGTATGTCTGTTGTAATTCACCTATTTAAGTTCTAATTTTATTGATGTGGGTCTTCTCTTTCTCTTAAGTTTGGCTAAGGGTTTATCAGTCTTACTTATCCTTTTAGATAATCAACTCTTTGATTCATTGAGCCTTTTTATTTCTTACAGTCACTTTCACTAATTTCCACTCTGATCTGTATAATTTGTTTCCTTCTGTTAGTTTGGGGTTTTGATAATTCTTGTTTTCCTAGGACTTTCAGATGTATCATTAGGTTTTTTATTCGGGGTTATTTCTAAAGGCAGGCACTCACAGCTATAAATCTCCCTCTGAACACTGCTTTCGTAGCACCCTCCAGATCTGATATGTTGTATTTCCCTTGGCTTTGTGGGTACTGTCCCTCTTCCTTGTCTGTCTTTAGAACTGCCTTAAGTATTTTCTGCAGCACTGGCATGGTGGTCATGAATTTCTTTAGTTTATCCTTGTCATGGGATGTCTTCTTTTTTCTTTAGATTTTGAAGGTTAGCTTTGTAGGATATAGTAATCTGGGCTGGCAATTATTTTCTTTTCGGGCTTGAAAAGTTTTACCCCCGACCCTCCTGGCCTTTAAGGTTTGTGCTGAGAAGTCTGCTGTCATTCTAACGAGTTTGCCCTTACGGGTCACTTCGCACTTCTCTCTAGCAGCTTTTAGAATTCTCTCTTTGTTCTGACTTTCTGTCATTTTGACTGTGGTGTGTTGTGGAGAGGTCCTTTTGTGGTTGTGTTTTGGGTTCTAAACCTCCTTTTCCTTGGTGTCATCTCCTTACCTACCTTTGGGGAATTATCTGCAATAATTTCACGGAATAAATTTTCTCTTGGCCTCTATATGAACCCTGTCATCAAATTCAGCGTTCCTTGAATTTGCTCTGCAGAGTCACGCAGGAGCTCTTGGATAATCTTTTGATTGTCTCGTTTCTTCATTAGTACTGACTATATCAGCCTGGTCTTCAGGTCCTGATATCCTTTCTTCTGACTGATCTTGCCTACAACTGAGACTTTCAGTTGTGTTTTTTATTTCCAGATTGTTTGCTTGATTCCTCTTCACAGCCTGTGTCTCCTTACTGAAGTAGTCTGCATGTCTAGCACCGTCTTCCGTAATCCATTCAGCTGACTGTGCGCAGTGGACCCTTGAGTTACAAACTCAATTCGTTCCCGAGGGCTGGTTGTACTTCCTCTTGTCAGCTGAAGGTCCGGGTTCCTCCACAGCTGTCAAAGTCTCTGTGCTTACACGGGCGGATCTCAGTGTCCTTAGACATTGGCCCCAGATTTCTCAATTAACCCCCTACAGGAGGATGTTGTAATGTTCCTTCCCGAATTCTTTAAGGGTTAAATCTGTATCTGAGACCACCTGGAAGCACAAGCGGCCAGTATCAGGTCATAACTCAAGACTTTGGTCGTAGGTTAAAAAACTAAAATTCCGGGGGGCTGGGGATTTAGCTCAGCGGCAAAAGCGCCTGCCTGGCAAGCGCAAGGTCGTGAGTTCGGTTCCCGGTACCAGAGAAAAACCAAAAAAAAAGAAAAAAAAAAGAAAAAAAAACTAAAATTCTGGTCATAACCCACGTTCATATGCCCGGCTGGTCATAACTCGAGGGTTCGCTGTATTTTTAAGCTAATTGATCAGCTTAGTAATTGATTCAGCCGCTTACCGTTGTCTTTCTTCGATCTCTTTAATTATTTTAACTGTGAGATTTTTTTTGATTCTTCAGTATTTCATCCACATCAGTCCGTAGAACCAGCATTTGGGGAGTTACACATTTTTGGAGGCATGTTGTTGCCTTATTTTTCATGATTCTTACGTTTAAGTTTGTAGACCAGTTAGGATAGAAAGCTGTGCACTATTGTGGCACTGTTAGCAAGCAGATGTCCCTGTGACGTTTTCACTGGGATTTGGCTTGAAGGCACCCACTCCACCTATTCAAAGTACTGTGTTAAATCCGTAGCACAGCACTGGCAGGCAAGAGCAACTGCCAGGAATATCAGTATCCAAAGAACCAACCATGTACAACGTAGAATTTACAGTTTGTTTTTAAAATTGTCAACGCTTTCAAAAACCAGGAAGACAAAGGAATAGGAATAATAAAGGATAGGCTAAGAAACAGAAAAAAAAAAATAAGAAAGAGAAAGAGAATGAAAAAGAAAACAAGTTTTGATGGTACTATTTTTATACCTGGAAATGAGAGGGGAGAGAGGTTTGAGAGATAGAGGAGGGAGGGAGGGAAGGAGGGAGGGAGGGAGGAAGGAAGGAAGGAAGTGAGAGAGTGGGCAGACAGGCAAGCAAAGCAAAGCAAATATAAATAGAAAGCACGAGATGATATGTGGTGATTGGATCCAGTTAATAAACGAGCAGAAACAGAAAGATGACCAAAGAAACAAGCTTTGGTGAGAAAGAACCTGACAAATCAAGGTAAGACAGTATAGAGTCAAAAGCGACAGTTAACACTTACACGCACTTGGGTATACACGCATGCCCCACACATACAAACCACAAGAAAATAGGGTTTAATAGTAGTACCCAGACATGGTGACACACGCCAGTAATCCCAGCATTCGGGAGGCTGAGGCAGGAGGATCTCTAAGTTCAAGACCAGCCTGAACTACAAAGTGAGTTCAAGGCCAGCCTGAACTACAGTATGAAACCCTGTCTCAAAAAGACCAAAATAATAATAATAATAATTATAATTATGCACAAGAAAAGAAGTGGAAATTTGAAAGGATGTGAGAGGGGAAGGAAAGAGATGAGAAGAGAATATAAATGGAAAGTGAGAAAAGATATAAGGAAATTACACATAGTTAATGAACTAACAGAAACACTAATTTAGCAAATCCTATGAAGCAACCCTTACTGCAGGAGAACAGAACGCGACATGGTAAAATACTATAGAAGTAAAAGCAGTAGCCACATTTAGAACCACAATATACCCTACCCTGGTACTTACAAAAAGAAACAACAATGGAAGACAAAAAAGTCTGATACTCCTCCTTGCAGTTGTATTTATTTGAGGGTATAAATTTGTCCAGAGTTCCCCTCTACCTCAGTTCAAATAGGCAAGGCCTTATAACAGAGCTCTGGGGAGTCTGAGCTCTACCCCTCTGGTTGTGGGTGAGAGCTTGGGTAAGTTGGCCAGTGACTGAATTAAATCCCACCTACTGGGCTAAACTCCTCTGTACCTGGGGTGATGGGACTGGAGAATCCGGTCCACCAATTCTGTCACTTGTGTAGCCTGTGAGAAAGTCCAACACATGGACTAAAGCTCTAGAAATTTCCATACTGTGCTTTTGGAGACATGGTTACCCAGAGTCCGCGCACTCAAAGTCACCCCATTCACCACTGTGCTGCTTAGTACGGACAAGGTTCATGTCCAGAGGCCTTGGGTCTGATAGGTCCTGTCCTGGGTTCAGCCCACACAGCCGCCAGTCACCAGAGTGTGACCCACGTGGGACTCTCCTTGCTTTAGTGATAATAGAAATTCAAACTGAGGCGACAACACGAACCTACAGGCAAAAAATTTAACTGAGAAGGAAAAGAGAATGGGGAAAGGGCTTTGGCTTGACGGGAAGAAAAGCTGAAGGAGGCACAGCTCTGACTGAGAAGGTCTGACTATGTTATTTGTTGATGTTTGTTAGTTTTACCTGCAAAAGGCTAACGTTGGGCCGGGAGTGTTGCTCAGTGGGAGATGCTTGCCTGGCGTGCCCGAGATCAGCAGCCTTCTAGGGCTAAACAACCGCTGACTACGCAGCCAATCTCTAACAGTTTTTCCAACTTTCAGCTCACCCAAGGGTCTAGCTCTGATTCCTGAAATGCTTACTTACAGGCCTCCTTCTACGTCAATGTCTATACCAATTGCTGGTGAATCCGAGTCTCTGGAAGAAGACAGAAAGGGTGGCGAGACCCTCAAAGTCCACCTTGGAATAGCAGGTATGAATTTGTAGCTTACCTGCTTTTTGTGATTTGTGACAAACAGTACTACTTGGTCTCCTAAAAATCTCCCAAAGGCCTTCCAGATATAAAATTTTACGGGCATGTGACCTGAAATGGCCCTGTTAGTATCACCGGAGTTTTAATTCCGGTTAAGCCAAAGCTTTATTTTGTCCGTAGTGGTGTGCTGTGGCAGATGGGTGAATGTTGCAATAAACCCCACCCCATTCAGTGCATCAACTCCACAGTCAGAACAGGAGACTTCAAGACTTTTCCCATTCTGCATGCCCAGCAACCCGTGCCAGTAACCTCTCAGTGTTGCTTCTGTTCCAGCCGTCTCTTCTCCTCTGTCTCTGATTCTCAAGCCTAAAGGTGCGTCCACATCACCCAGAGGGCTTGTTAAAACACTGCCAGCACCAGCAGCCCGGGTTCTGGACTCAGTAGGATCAGGGTTGTGGCTGAGTTGTGCATTACAAACAGGGAGATCCACTTTTTCCAGGAACACTTTCAGCAAATCAGAATCTCTGCTAGGAGTTAAAGACCAGCCTGGAGGTAGATACCTGTAGTCCCATCTGGGGCAGGAGGATTGCTTGAAACCAAGAGTTCGGGGCCAGCCTGGGGAACATAGTGAGTCTCTACTCAAAAAACAAAACAGAAACCAAAAATAAAAAAGTGTGCAAAATGTCAAGTTGTCTGGAGGAAAAGGACGGAAGAGCTTCTTTCTGTCTCCCAAGTCATGTGAGCAGGATGTGTTATGTGAAATAATAGAAAGAAAGCTGAAGTGAGGGGATGAACATTCTCATTGCCTTTGCAAATATGCAGTGGTACAGTTTCTTACAGATAATGATGGCTGTGAAATTTCCTGAATTAAGGTCTGCAAGTCCTTTTTCTACTTTTTACTTTTTCATTAACTTCTTTCCCTTCACATGTAAATATCCTGAATTCTTTATCGAGAAAATAAATACCCACTAACTGCATCTTCCTCTACTGCTGTGTCATAGACTCTAACAGGCTGGTGCTTATTATCAGGTAGGTAGGTAGGTAGATAGATCAATCGATCGATCGATCTAGTAGATTATTTGGCAGCATTTGTTGGTCCAACTGTATACAATATCATTTACTGAGTTGCTGCTATAATAACTATATTACTGCTTCTAAGGTAAAAACAGTTCTAGTTACACTCTCCTGAAAACAGTTTTTCATTCTGCAGAAGAAGCCTACTCCTGGAAATATATAATTGCTACCTGGAATATGCATATGACCAGGGAATTACAGTACCAGAAGTGGCTTTAGCACTGCCTTTTTTTTATAGATTTACAAACTGATAAAAATGAGTACTGTAATCAGTTTCAAAAGAAATTTCTCCTCAGTGCTACCTTCCATGCTGTGTTGATGTAAGCCACAGACATCCCAAATTATAGCCTATCGCTAGCAATGCTAACACTAAAATAATAAAGTATTCTTTAGTTCATGCTCTTAGATTTTGGAGAAAGCAAGATTTCCTCAAAAACTAGTGAAATTCTGCAATTTTGTGAGGATGTATAAGAATAAACCTGATTTACTTTTACTTAAGAAGTGCCAAACACAGAAATATTTCTGATTTTAAGATGGAGTGCTGCTAAATGTTATAAAAAATATTGTAATTCTTGACCTGGGGATATAGCTCAGCAGCACAAGCACCTGCCTGGCAAGCTCAAGGTCCTGAGTTCGATTCCCAGTACCCCCCCCAAAAAAATACTGTAATTCTTTAGTGAACCAAAATATTGAAGTATTTTCTTTTTAGCTGGATACAGTGGTGCACACCTGCAAACCAAGCACCGTGGGAGGTGGAGGCAAGGAAGTTGTTAGTTGAAACCAACCCAGAATAACTTACCAACTTAATGAGACCCTGTCACAAAATAAACTGTTTAAAAAGGGCTGCAGGTATAGTTCAGTACAAAGTCCCCAGTATCACATACACACAAAAAAGATGCATTTTTCCCTTTTACACTTTCCAGCCTATTTTTCTTGGTAATGAGCTTGGCGTAGTTTACAAATGCAGATTATAATACAAATTGATCATTAACTTGTTTGCAGTAATAGTAATGCCATATTATGACATATTGCAGATCTTTCAGCAAAGAGCTCCTCTGTTCCTGATGAGCTGGGCGCCTGTGGACATTCCAGAACATCAAGCTATGCAAGCCAGCAGTCCAAAGTATCAGGTAGAGATTAACAGTAAAATTGAATTCCTTAGTGTTCCAAGGGGTCTTGAAACTGCTGTGGTATAGAAGGACTTTATAGATTTCATTGTATCTGAGATTAGTATCATATCCAAAGTGATTTTTCTCTGACAGGATATAGCACATGTCACTCCCGGTCATCTAGTTTCTCTGAGTTCTGCCACAGGAGAAATACCTCAGTGGGAAGTACATCAACAGGAATTGAAAGTATTCTAGAACCTTGTGATGAAATGGAGCAGAAAATAGCTGAGCCAAATCTTGATACTGCTGATAAAGACGACGCACTCTCTGAAAAACTCAACAGGTATCCTTTTCGATTAAAGGATAAATTTAAATTTTTTTTTGTTTTCATAACATAATATAAAGGAGGAAAAAACTGTGATTGTTTTCAAAGATGCCCAGTGAAACAGGATTCTGTAGAATCTCAGTTGAAGCGAGTTGATGACACCAGAGTGGATGCAGATGATATTGTGGAGAAAATACTACAAAGTCAAGACTTCAGCCTCGACTCCAGTGCAGAAGGTGTGTAGAGGACTGTCAGGTATAGACTTCCGTGTAGATCCAAGTCTGTGTAGTCATGCGGTCAGCAGGAAGGAGGCGGTACATCATGCTATGACTGCATATTTGTAAATAAATTTCGTGCCCAGAGAAATCTCAAGATAATTTTGTGGCTTATTTCTGAGAATGAATATTGAATTTGGAAAATGAACAAACTTCAGTTCACAATGATCATATTTTAGGGAATGCAGTTCAGTGGTATAGCAAGTGCTTAGCAATCTCTAGCACTCCCTAACAAGAGGAGCAATTTTAAAGGAAACTTGCCTTCAAATTATGGTTCAGGGCCTCCCACATTCCTTCCCTTGGATAGCTGCATCTCGGTCTGCCCTAATGCTTCAAGTCTCTGTTATACTTTGGAGGGTTGAGACCATGGTTTTAAGATAGCAGTGAATAACAGAACCCTTCGGGCCCTCCTTGGTGTTTTCCCTGAAATGACAGTTTACGCGCTACCAGTTTGAAAGGTACAATTACACAGGCTGGTGTGAAAAGAGAGCACTTAACAGTGGAAATGAGAATTTGTGGGAAGGGCTGTTTTCAATAGTGAGTTAAAAGAACAAGAGCTTTACAAAAGGAGATAAGAAATAACTGTTAGTATAGCTTTTAAATTGCCTGGTTTTTAATTCTTTAGTTCTAAATAAACTGAAATGTGAAATAGGAATTACTGCAGCGTGAATTGGGTGACTTAGTCTAATATTGTACGTACAACAGATGTTTTACTTGTGTGTTACAGAAGAAGGACTGAGGTTATTTGTGGGTCCTGGGGGAAGTACAACCTTTGGCAGTCATCACCTTCCAAACAGGTATGTGGTCCAAATGGAACCTTATTAAAATTCAGATTGACTGTTAAAAAATTTCACAAGCGGGGGCCAAAGATCGCAAAGCCTTCGTTAGACTAAAGCTGGAAAACACAAACACCAGTAGTTACACGAGAAGATCAACAGCTCTTAGTGCGACTTTCACTTTTTCTTATTTTATTTCTTTTACATTATATAAGGTTGCTAATTTCCTTAGATGTATTTTTAGATGATATTTTTGAAGGGCTAGTACAGCACTGGACAGGTTGTGCAATAAAAAAGATATTTAGAAGAGTTTTGGTCTAACATTGTAAACACAGCAAAGCAAACTTCCATTTTTATCTTTTTTCTGTTTTGAGCACGAGGGATTGACCCGGGGCCTTATGCGTGCTTGGCAGGTGCTCTGCACTGAGCTACGCGCCCAGCCCCCAGATTACGTTTGCAGTGAGTAATCTTTTTTTTTTTTTTTTTTGGACTCAGAGTCAAACTCAGGGCCTTGCACTTGCCAGCCAGGCGCTGCGCCGCTGAGCTACTCCCCCGGCCCTCAGTCAGCAGTCTTACGTATTCTGAGCATTATGTACCTACTCAGCAGCATAAGCTAACAGTCAACTTTTCTTATACTCGGCTTTTCTGCACACCCTGGAGTCTAACATACCTTCCGAGAAAGTTCTAAACACAAGCATCCCTTTGGGAATTCCTCAAATTTAGAAGAAAAATCACCCACCAGACTTAACCACATTGATTCGCAGTAGAGAGTGAGTTCCCCTTGTCCAAAGTGCTTGGACCGGGAGTGTTTCGCAGAGATTTTTGGGTTTGGAATATTTGCACTTTTACCAGTTGAGCATCCCACATCTGAAAACCCAAAATCTGAAATGCTCTGAAACTTCTTAACCATCATGCAAGCCCTTCAAAAGTTTCAGATTTTGAAGGATTTCAGATTTTCAGATTAGCAGTGCACCCTGACTATAGCAGAGTGGTGAACGCAGATGTAAATGAGACCCCAAGAATTCTGTTGCTCCCTTGCTTCCATCACCCCTGCTACTCTATTTCCGTGTAATGTTTATGAAGCGTGCCCACATAACTACAGAGAACGTTCAAGTTGCAGGCCTAGGGGCTGGAGATGTAGCTCAGTGGCACAAGCACCTGCCTGGCAAGGTCCTGAGTTTGATTCCCAGTACCAAAAAAAAAAAAGAAAGAAACATTAGAGTTGCAGACCTAGGAGAGACCCCTGCCCAAGGCAATTATTTTATTCTCTCATGCTTAAATCCGGAAATAAATCCATTTGTTCTGTCCATAGTCATTTTAATAAGTATTTCCTCCATGTCTGCCCAAAAGATGCAAAATAGAGTCTGACAGCAAATGCTTACGTGAACAACTAACAGTCAGATATGACAGGTAGATTTAAAAAGGACATACAAAGACGAAATGAGGAGAAATTTGAAAAAGGGTGTATAGAGGACGTAACACAATTAGACCTTTCTTTAACATTTATTAACCTGTCCACTCATTAACTTCAGTAACTGTTGAGCCACTTGGGAGTGAGGAGACACAGAAGCAAGCCTTTTACCCCCAGCTAGGTAATGGTCAAACCCAGAGATGGCGAACCTTTCAGAGACTGAGTGCCCAAACCGCCACCCAAAACCCACTGATTTATCACAAAGTGCCAGTGCTGCAGTTAAACCTGAGTATATACTAAGGACTTAGCTCAGAAAAAACAACTCATCCACTTAGCTCCTACGCCAAGGGAGCCCAGACTTCATTTTCACGGGTTCGCCTGCATGGCATAGGCTCACCACCACTGGTTTAGCCCACAGCACCGGTAGACTACAGCCAGTGGATCAGTTTGCCACTGCCTGTTTTTAAAAAAGCAAATGTCACTGGAACACGCCTACACCTGGTTAGTCATATACTGTCAGTGGCTACTTTGATGCTATTGATTCTACGCTATTGATCCTGTTCAGCAGCATGGTTGAGTAGAGCAGCAGAAATTACATGGCCCACAAAGCCTAAAATATTTACTGTCTGACACTTCCCAGAAGGTGAGATAGACAACCAAAAAACTGTAATAACATGAAAACTATAATGCATAGACAGAGAGGGACTTCTGAGAATAGCAGCAGCACACTCAGTAAACTTTCAGGAAGAGCTGATACTTGAAGCGTGTTTGGGAGAATTAAAGATCAGTGGGAGTTTGGAAGGCAAATATGGGGAAGAAAGATACTGCTGGTAATAGGAGCAAATAGGGTGAAGCTATAGTATTAGATGATAAAGCTGGGCGCAGTGGCACATGCTGTAATCCCAGCGCGTGGGAGGCTGAGGGAGGAGGGTTGCTGTGAGTTCAAGGCCAGCCGGGGCTGCATAGCAAGACGCTGTCTCCAGAAATAAAATTACGTAATAATAATCATAGGCAACACTGAGCAATTATTAGTTACGTGCCAGACACAGGGATGTATATGTACTGTATTGACTTCTTACAGTATCTCACAGCACTCTGTAATTAGTATCTAAAAAGTGGAAGCAAAGATGCAAACAAGTAGAGATTATTTGCCTCAAGGTCTTAATATGGTAAGGCATGAAACGAAGATTCACACTCGTGCCTCTGAATGCAGAGCCCATTGCACCTACCCACTGCACCATAGTGACTTGTGAATAATATCACATAACCTGCTCAGATAATTACGAGTACACAAGTTCTTCTAGGAGAGCGGCGTGTGAGAGGAGTTTTGGGACATGAGGCTGGCAGGTGTCTTGGAATGCAGGTGTAAACCTCAGTCGACGTTACCGTTCTCCTTACAAGTGCAGTGGGAGGCAGCGGTCGTTCCTGCAGGGAAATGCCTTGTCAGGTTGGCGTTTTAGGAAAGTAGCTGTAGTCTGATTAGAGGAAGGAGAGGCCGATAGCAGAAAGCCAGGTAGAAGAAGTATGATTCCAGCCATAAGGAACTTAAATAATAAATGATCAAAGCATGGACCCGCTCATCAGACTACCTGAGGTCAAATTCTGACTCTTTCACCATTTGCTGATGTAATTATCCTCTGTGAGTCTTTTTCCTCACCTGTAAAATGAAAGTTACAAATAAGTTCCCTAGAGCTGGGGATATAGCTCAGTGGCACAGCGCCTGCCTGGGAAGCGCAAGGTCCTGAGTTCAGGTCCCAGTACCAAACAATAAATAGTTACCTAACTCACAGGTTTTTTGTAAAGATGACATTATATGACTTAAAAAAGTATTTAACACAATGCCTGGCACATAGAAAGCTCTGAGCATGTACTCTGTTAATGTTGTTATTTAGGTGAAAGAAAGATTATTTCCAGTTGAAAACTCATATAGAACTTAGGACATAAAGGCATTCATATAGTGAAGGAAATAATTCGGGTTGCCACTCCCTTTCCAGATGAATGCTAGAATAGTCATCTGGAAGTAGGGGTGTAGTTCACTGGGAGAGTGCTTGCAGAGCTAGCACCTGCAAGGCCCTGGATTCAGTCAATTAGAATAGGATAGGATAGGATAGGGTAGGGTAGGGTAGGGTAGGGTAGGGTAGGGTAGGGTAGGGTAGGGTAGGGTAGGATGGGATGGGGATGGGGATGGGGATGGGGATGGGGATGGGGATGATAGCATAGACTAGGGAGTGGGATAGCATAGCATAGAATGGGGCATGGGGGCTGGGGATTTAGCTCAGTGGCAAAAGCGCCTGCCTGGCAAGCGCAAGGTCGTGAGTTCGGTTCCCGGTACCGGAGAAAAACCAAAAAAAAAAAAAAAAAAAAGAATGGGGCATGGACAGAGTAGAGTAGTAGGTCATCCAATATGAAAAAGTCTAAAGTGTGCAATAGGAGTTGAAGTACATAAAGATTCATTACTCCAAGCCACAGAAAGGCCAAAAAAGGTCAGACAGATGTGTCATGGTGAAAAGAGAATAGGCCAAAGAGATAGACATGGTTTCATTTTGGATTTAGCCATCATGACCGTGCTTGGCTATGATCTCGGCAGGTCACATCTCTCACTTGCCAGCAAAACGCAAATTGCATCATTAGAGTTATTGACACAGGCTCTGGGATTAGGTTGCTGGGGTTCTGAACAGTACTTAGCTGTGTCTTCTCTGCTCAGTTTCCCCACCATTGAGTCATACTGATGGAAGCTACCTCACACGAATTATAAGATACAAAATAAATGAGGTAAGATACGTACATCTTAGAACGGTATCTGGCATTCAGTAACATTCAGGTAATTTACACTAGCTAGGGCCTGTCTCGTAGAGTTATTGTGGAGATCAGTCTGCCTGAAGTGTCCAACACGCTGCTTATACACATCGGCTCGCAGTAGCTGGTGGGTCTGTATCAGAGAAGCTAGTGTCTGAGCATTAGATCAGCTCTGTGAAATAAACTACAGTGGTGCAGATGAAACCAGAATCATTTACCAAAGAAAGGAAGAAGCACAAGAATCGTAATTCAGGGAAAAAACCCACAAGAATGGACAGAACAGAGCAGCACGGCACAGGGACCCGGAAGGACTACTTAGTAACATGGCTGAAGTCTAGTGGACTTGCTCGAGCAGGCCCAGGGTTTCCTACAAGGTCCAGTGTGCACCTGCCAGCTTGTCTTTGGGAACACTTCATTGTCCCTGGCAAGAAACCTGCTTTCATTTCTGTTTTTGTCCATGTACTCGTGTTGTCTTTTACCTCTGGCTGCTTGTAGGATTCTCTTGTTAGCAGTTTGGTCACGATGGGCCTTGGTGTGTTTCTCTTTGTATTTATTCTGCTTGGAGTTCATTGAACTTTGGGGATCTGTGGGTTTATAATTTTCATGAAGTTTGGAAATTCTCCATCCATTATATTTCTGCCACTCTTCCTTCTGGTATGCTGATGCTCGATTGCAGCCCCCAGCCCCAATGAGCTTCGGCTCCTCCACTAGACTGACAGGCTGTGTTAGGGTTCTCCCTCACGCAGGCTCGGGGGTTCCTGAGGGAAACCGCTTCAGGCAGCAAGCTGAAGCCGGTGGAGGCTTTTTGTTTGGTTTTTCCTTCTCTTGGGAGCAGCCTTGTACTGCCTGTCAGTCGTGTGTGTTTTCTCCAGCTTTGTATATTCTGATTTCTGATTGTTTAAGGCAGGAAGGACAGTCTAGTTCCTGTTACACCATCACACTTCAGAGGAGATGTAAAAGCCAGCAGGACTGGTGCTCTCCAGGGTTCTTCCAAATTCTGATCATCGTAGTTGTGAGTGGGTGTTTACTGGTGCTCTGTGGAGGACTCTCCGTGCTTCTGTACATTGAATCTGTGAGAAGGGCTGGCTCTGAGCAGTCAGCTAAGTCCAGCTTAGTCCGTGGTAGAGCGGTAACCTCTGCCTTACCACCACCTCTTAGAATCTCCTCTTAACATCCCTTAAGGGATGAGACCAGACCTAGAGGTTGCTCCTGGCCCTGCCGAACTCCGGCACACTCAAAGGGAAATGTCCGGCCCTAGGGTGGATCCCAGCATTTTGACAAATGAGGAAATGGGAAACTTGTACCTGGTAATAAGCAGAAAGTCCCTCCCGCTGCGTGCAGCAGCCCCGCCTTAGCTCTCCTGATCACTGGAGATGCTTCAGGGCAAGGGAAGAATGATCCCATTTAAAAATACGGAGCCAGCTGTCATCCAGAAGACCCTGTATATTTTTACAAGCTTTAGAAAACCTTTATCCTGACAGACCAGGAAACAGTAGATGGAAGAGGCACGTTCATTCCATTGTGACACAGAGCCAGGGCGCTAAGTGCCTCTCAAGCGCAACAACAAGAAGCTGGTATTGATCAGGCCGTTCCTGAGATAGCCTGTCTCAGAGTCCTTCGTTCAGAAAGCTTGCAGGTTTTAAGTCTTAATGTTCTCCGTATATCATTAACACAGGCCAGTGCTGGCGTATTAGAGTAACAGGTATAACAAAGAGACCCAAAAATAACGCAGTGACCCGTGTCGTTGCTTCACCGTCCTCCTTGCCTTTCTTGTCAAAGTTAGCTGCTAGTGCAGGGCAAGCAATTTTCTTGTAAGCAGATAAGGCACAAGTTGACGTACATCTCTTCCACTCATGTTGCTTAGGGGAAAAATTAGTTACACAGCCACACCTACCTACAGGGGAGTTTGGGGAATGTGGTCTCTAGCTAAGTAGGCTGCACCCAACTAAACTGTGAAGAAGGGAAGAAGAGATTTGGGGGAACAACCCACAGTCTGCCACTCCAAATTAGTGAGGAAATAAACCCTTTTTCAAAATCATTTTCTCTTCAAATCTTCATTACATAGATACAGTTTACAACAGTGAGCACGTACAAGAGCATTTGCAGCGTGGTGTGGTAGCACACGCCCGTCATCCCAGCTCCTGGGGAGGCTGAGGCAGAAGGATCACAAGTTTGAGGCTAACCTGCTCAAAACAAAAGGGCTGGCGATGTACCTCAGGGGTAGAGTGCTTGCCTAGCATGAGCAAGGCCTTAGGTTCAAATCCCACGGCTACAAAACAGACAGAAAACACTTTTGCAGACTAATCAAAAAAATTCCAGAGCTGGGTGCTGTGACACATGCCTGTAGTTGCTGAGTTTGGAGAATTTCGTAGGTCCAGGAGTTCTAGGCCATAGGGACGGGGGAGGAGGGTGTGGTTTCTAAAAGACACGCTAAGATACCACGTACTACGCTACTGTTATAACTAACAACTGTTTCATTAACTCAATGCCTGATGCCCTGCTGGATGAGACCAATTATAGGATTTATACTTAAACACATTTGAAGAGAATGTTCCTTCCCACAGTCTGTTAATACTACTGTAAATAGTCTGTGAAGTATTACTAGATTACTGTGGAAATAAGTAAGAGAATCAAGGCTAGACTAATCCAATGTGTTATAAACACTTACTATTTCAAATATTTTCTCTCGGGATACCTTTCAACCTTGTGGAAAAATGCCTAATGCACCATCTCTCAGAGGTCAGGATTACTTACAACAGTTTCAAGGACTATAACTCAACATTCTGAAGTTTTTTCTCCCCTGCTCTTTCAGGGTGGGGTCTGGAGCTTATGAACAAGTCGTGATCAAACGCTAGAAGTCAAGGCAGTGACCAGACGCTTTCCTGTGGATTGAAGGTGTGCACAATTGATGTATCAAGCATTTCAGCGAAGTACTTAAGAGAAAATGTACCTATTTTTCTGTTGTTTTTTTTTTTTAAACAGGGTCTAACTTTGTAGTTCAGGCTGGCCTTGAACTCACCGTGATCCTCCTGCCTCAGCCTCCCATGTGCTGGAATTACAGATGTGCACCCACCACACCCAGCTAAGAAAAAAATGTGCCTGTTTTTAAAAGTGAAGTTCATCTATTAAGAGGGAAGCTGGCACCAGTTTCTTCTCCGAAAGCACCCGCCACTGATCTCTCCCGCCCACTGAGCGGGAGCATCTGTCCGCAGGGTGGTCGCAAAGCAGTGCGCCTGTGCAGGCCACAGACGTGCGCTGCTCCTGTGTTACTCCCCGGTGGGGAGAAAGTGTCAGACACATCCACATGTAATTGGAGTAGTCAGGTGTAAAATCTGTGACGGGTGCTGAACAGCTTTGGACTCTCTGTTTTTTATTTTAATTTTACATTAAAAAGACAGTATGTGAGTGTAATTTAAACGCTATAAATTCTGTCAAGACAGTTACAGTTCCTACGAAGGAAACTTTCCATACTATATAGTAGCTACACTGTTGTACTAAGTCTGTTAACTCCCTTGGATGCAATCATTGATATTTAGTATGAGAAAATGTTACACAGCAATATGTAAAATGCTGAATAATAATTCTAAATGTATCTGCCCTAAAGCGGATGACCAGTGTGTTGAAGTCTGAGAAAAGTGAATGGATGCAATACTGTTGTTGTACAATACACAGCATATTGTTACTTGTCATTAATACAAGATGAGCTGCAGAACCCCATGAGCACTATACAAGTGAGTGGAAATAAGATAATAGTATGGTAGGCTTCCACAAGGCGCCCTAACAGAAGAGCCGTTTTACATCGCTGAATATTAAGATCTGCTGGCTTCAGCATTCAGAATTAGAACAAAGGGGAAGTTGTGATACGATCAATCAGAAACACAACATCCTTTTCTATGTAAATTCGGACTTACCTGGAACTGGAACTCCCCCTGACCTGGCAGTGGACGAAGCTAGGGAACCGCTCCTGGACATTAACGGTGCAGGGCTCACGGCCTGCCCAGTGTCACAAGTTGGCTGTTTTGAGGCCAGAGTAGACGGTAGCATACATCAAATACGGCTTTTAAAATAGAATTACTTTAGCCTAGGTATTTTCACATTGGAAAAATAAAAAACTATTAAATAGAAGTTATTCTAATATCAAAATACAGGACTTGGAATAAAATGGAACCATTCATGTTAGGGATTACTTTACTGTTTCAAGGATTGGCTGTTCCATATTAATTCAGTATTACCTTTATAAATAGATTCTGAAACTGTTAAAAAGATGACACCCTGTTTCAGAATATTCTTAATATTAAGAGGTTTTATGAGTCTAGTTACGTACCCTTTCTGCGGGTGTGTGGTTCTGGGGACTGAACCGGGTGCCGCACTCGGCTACACCGCCAGCCCTTGTTTTGTTTTTGAGTCCAGGTGTTACTGAGTTGCCCTGGCTGGCCTGGAGCTTACAGTCCTCCAACCGCTGCCTCCTGACTCGCTGAGGGTACAGGCGTGCACCACCACACTGAGGGCTCCATTTTTATTTTTTAGGATATATTTTGGAAAAGAATTATGGAAAGAATCAAAGTTTTAATTAGAGATGTGAAGATACTGTTAAGAGAAATCAATGACATTTTTTTAAATATATTTTTCTATTTTCAAAATATGTTTCTAGGCTGTATTTTTTATTGTCACTTCTGCAAATGATCTTTGCAATTTTAAATATAAAACTACAGTAGATTGTAGGCAAGATTCAGTGAGGACGCACATCAGACATATGAAAGGTACGTAATCAGGGCAGTGCGCCTGTCATACTAACTTTGACTGCTCCGGCCTTATACCTTGAAATAAGATTAGTTCTTGGCATTTAAAATGGTACAGAATTCTTCCATGAGCCAAAACAAACAATAAAACTCTCCTCCTTTAAAAAAAAGTGGTTTAAAATTCTTTTTAAAAAAAACAAGAGACAGGGGCTGGGGATTTAGCTCAGCGGCACAGAGCCTGCTTGGCAAGCGCGAGGTCGTGAGTTCTATTCCTGGTGCCGGAAGAAAAACAAAACAAACAAAAAAAAGCAAGAGACAAAATATGAATAGATTTTGAAAGCATAAAAGTCACCCCTTCATGGTAGCAGCCACCAAGTACATCTTGGTTTATACAGTAGTGAGTGTAGAAACAGTTTCAAAGGAAACGTTGAATAGGAAGAGAAAGAACAGCTGTGTCCTCTGTGGCCCGTGAGTGTGCCTGCCTTCCCTGCGAGCGCTCCCCTGGCATCCTCTGCGTTCACGTTTCAGCGCAGTCCTGTAAGATATCTGTTAAGAGTCTGCCTGACTTTCTTGTTTGCATTGTTACGCCCTGACGCAGGTAGCTGTTGACAGAAGCTGCTTACTGACTGCCACGTCTGCTTTTAATTCTTTCGGTGAAGAAAATTGGACTTCAGAAAATAAACTCTTGATTAATTTTTTTAAATACTGAAGTCGGATTTCAAATGGCCCAATCTTGGAGAATTCACAGATACGTACAACTTTTTCCAATTCTATCCTAAAGAAAAAGACAAAGAGCAATTGACGGCCATGTGCTGGTGTTGGACAGAAAGCACAGCAGTCAGGAGCCCCTCCTCTGGGACCTGGGTTGGTGGCCGAGACCAGATAGGGTGTGAAGGGCAGAGCAAGCCCGGAGCAGTCAGTCTGCACTTTAAGGGTTGACTTCTCTTCGTGGTGTGTTTGCAGGCTTGAAAACAAACGGCTAATGTAGATTAGTACCACATGTTCTGATAAAGTCTTGACCAACAACCCTAAATTCCATTTCCCAGGCTAGCATACAATTATCAGAACATCCGAAGTACATTTTTCTGAATACGCTCTTTTGTATAAAACTCAGAAGCCACAGAGGTTGACCACTTAACCCCTTTGTTGCTAGAAGGAAAAAAAATCTCCAGCTAGCTTCCACTCAGAACATATGCAGCCAGACTTGGCAATGCATGCCTGTAATCTCAGCAGTTGGGAGGCTGAAGCAGTAGAATTGTCACAAGTTTAAGACCAGCCTGGGCTACATAGTGAGTTCAAGGCCAGCCTCAACTACATAGCAAGGTCCTGTCTCAAAAACCAAAAAAATACATTCAAATTCAGGCAGCAATGACTTTTTAATAAATTAGATCATCCATAATAATCTCAGACTTTTAGATTTCCATTCTATCTACTTTGTGAACTCAAGCTGACAGTATTATTATATATCTCACTGAAGTACTCAAAAATGTGTTAGGCTTTCTGCATATATAACAAATCCCTGAGAGACAGGCTGAACTCATATGACGGGGTTGTGTTGTATTTTCTTAAGCCTTTAATTTGAGAAGTTCAGATATTCCTGGTCAGTTCCCTTAGATGGTACGTCATGTGAATATAATCAAGTATGTTAGCTCAAGTTGTGTTCAGCTGCTGCTCATATGCTAGCTTAGGTACTATCATAACGTTAATAGCCAAGATGTGAAAGAATATGAAATCTCAAATATAAAGGTTGAAATATTCCTGTATTAAGCCTATTTTAAGACTGCCCTGAAAATGAAGGCCATATGCCTTTATATATCTGATTTTCATAAGATAATGTATACACAATATATTTTAAATGGTCATATGGGTAGCCTGCCCATACAACAAAATTGATACCAAATATAGTCTGTAAATTAAAAATTGTATCAGTTACAGACAGTATATTCTGCATTTTCAAGTGTTTATGGTTATCTTATGTATGTAACAGAAAATTCTTTTGCTGGTATTCATTGACCAAATTTCATGCAAGGGAAGATATTTAGAGTTTATACAAATTTGTTTTTTGGAAATACCTTATTTGAGGGATCACCTTCCTCTTGGTGTTTACTTGCTCCTTGGGACGTGTATGCGTAATGCTTCAAATCATGTACGTTCATGAAGAATATTATTGCTGGCTGGGGGTGTGGCTCAGTGGGACAGTGTCGGCCTAGTAATGCCAGGCCCTGGGCTTGATCTACAGCTCCGCCAAAAATATATATAGAAGTGATTCCATCAGTATTCTAATACTTGGAGAATGACCTTCATATTTATATATATTTCTTTCTCTCAATTGTACAATGATAAATCTAGAAAATGTTTCCTTTTTTAATAAAAACAAATGTTTTATTTGTAAAGTGTTTGTAATAAGGTAAAGGTGACTATATATGGTTAATAAAAGTCATATCTTAAAAGTTTAAATGCTCCTCATCATATTTTAAATTACTGGTTAAAATGTGTCAGATAACTCTGCCAAGGTCAGGAAATAGAAGTGAAAATCCAGTGTAACTTTCCCTTGAGGGTTTCCTGTTATGACCAGGCAGTATATGACTTGGACACTTCCGGTGGTAGGCACCTTCGAACCTTCAGCAGCCATGCAGAGGTGCAGGGACAGGCTTTGGAGTAAGGCAGACCTGAGTCTGACTCCGAGCTCCCCTGGGCACCAGCCTCCTTGTCTAAGTACCACTAACTAGCAGGTTGTGACAAAGAACACGTGCGTTAATGTTAAGAATATGCCAAAAACTTCAAAACAAATGACATTTTTCTTTAAAAAAAAAAGTATACTACTTAGCACGCAGGGTTTTATCAGAGCAAAATTTACCTTTGTGTAGGTAAATACATATATTTATGTCTACGTACATATATTCATTTTGTCACACATGGTTTATTAAATGGCCACTACAATCATTCAACAAATGATATACAGTGTCACCCATACTCCCCCACCCCTGCCATTTTGATTTTAGTACCGAGGATTGACCCCAGGGAGCATGGAAGTACATCCCCACCCCTTTTTATTTTTTGATACAGGGTCTCACCCAGGCTGTCACCTAACTCGCTACCCTCCTGCCCTAGTCTCCTGAAATTACATGCCCTTTCCCCACCCCCGTTTTTTGTGGTGCTGGGGATCAAACCTAGCACCTTGTGCATGCTAGGCAAGGGCTCTACCACTGAGCCACATCCCCAGCCCCTCTTTTTCCCCTTTGGTTATTATCTTCAGGAAGAAAAACCAGTTTCAATATATTCCC